TTTTGCTTTTCTAACACTACAATACCACCATTTCCTGCCCTTTAATGTGCCAAGGGTGCGGTCTTCACAATTCCCACCTGCTTGTTGTCACCCGGAAGTACTTGTGCTAGGCAGTAGCAGCTAACTACCTAGCAACCTGCCTGCGTCCTTCGGATTCGGGGAGTCACTGGGTGGGAGAGATCCTGGTATTGGTAAAGGGGGCATCTCTCACTCTGGGTGCACTTTTTTAGATGTGCACCTAAAGTGTATTGAGATGATCCTTTGATTAGTTCGCTTTGTAGCCATTTTTAGTATGACTTCTCAACGTTACGTCTTTCTTCTGTTTGGCGCACATGGCCGATTTGCATACGTGCACAGGACTGGCTGGCTCCACTTGGCAAAAAATAGAACATATTTGTGAATAAATGTTTTGAATTTTGAATACTGGACATGGTGAGCTTAAAAACATTTTAGTGACCATTAGTGACAATAAAATATTTTATTTTTTTGACAAAATTTGAGACCCCCTTCAAATTTTGCTTTTGAGGCTTTCAGGGGGTCTCATGGGTTAACTGGGGGGGTCGAGCTCCCCCGGCCCCCGTATTTTGCACACTGGTTTTAACATTGCCTTAAATTCTTCCAATGGAACTAGATCATTAAGATGCAGTAAGCAGGAAGCAAGGCAAGAAAACACTTTTTCTCCCAGCTCAGTGAAAACCTTACCTTAGACCTTACCTTTTATATCTACAGAGGTCACAGGTCGCCTTTCATGGAGTCTGCCATGTTGAACCGCCATGTGGACAGTAGCCCAGAAGGGACAAACCAAACACTGGCTGTAGATCGGACCATTTGACTTTTTGCTGTGTTTCGTAGCCACCATCTCTGTTTTGTACTTGGAAGCCGAGGGTAAAGCGAGGGAGTTGCAATCTTCAACTACACTGCTAGTTGCCACTAATTCTTAAACACTGGACCTTTAAATTTGGTAATATGGATATATTTTTTATTTCAAAATTGCCAGCTCTCTATGCAAATGAGCCTAATTGCATAAAACTTCCAAATCACAAACACCAGCACTAATAGCAGAGTAGAGTGAGAGTTGGTGGTAATTGATTATTATGATCATTAATAAGTGGTGTCACGCCCAGACTTTCCAGTGATCATGGCAGCAGTGATTGTAGCCTGGTGAAGCCATAGTGCATCACAGTACATCGTATGTGCACAGATACAGCCTCTACTGTGACAGACTAAAACTGTAAAACAATATATAACCTACTGCTGTGAGAAACGGCTGTGACGCACTAGTGATGGCCAATGTTTTTAAATTTTATACTATACCAATACTTTTCGCTAAAGTTTTTCAGATACAGATACCTATCATTTTTTTAAATGGGTATATGATTTTTCAAAATAATGGTCAACAAACAAACAAAAACAACGCATTACATTTACAGGCATATCACATGGCACATACCGGTCACTGATAACACATTTATTACAAATATTGCAAATATGAGTGCATACAAACTGAACATGGCTTTATACAATGTTCGTATTTTTGTTGTGGACGTGTATGCATATCTGCACATTTATTATATAATACCTCATTTGCATATTTAAACATAAAATGTTAGAGACATTTTAATACAAAAATAATTAACGTAATTGACAGGGAAAGTTTCATGGTAATATCTATTATTTAGTTTAGTTAATTTTTTTAATGTTTGAAGATGTCGTTCCTGTTACTGCTGTGTGACACTTTCAGGTGAAAAGTAGCACTGCACCATGCTATGTTTCCTTTCTGTCATTCTCCCTTCTCTCTTGCATTCATAACACGTTTGTGTGGAAGTGTGAGAATGTGTGTCTGTGTGGCTGCTTGCTCGGTTCTCATGTCTCATAGGCTTCCACAGTCATGTGACATGGACTAGCTTAATATGTCAGAGCTGAAAAGATTGGAAATAGGACAGCAGCAAGTGGTGCGTCCAGGGGCACTGGCATTCATTTGGCCATCTCTGGTGGGGCAGACGGGTGGGTTTTTAGGCGATACCATAGATGTAGTAGGTTGTAATAAGTGTGGCTTTAAGCAGTATAGACAAATAAACACAAGTATTTTTGAAGGATTTTGTGAAGCAATCAACACACCTTGAATGTCAATATGACAACTTTGACCATTCCCATTTTAACTGCATGACATAAGCTTTAGTGAACATTCTGTTTCCTGACTTGATAAAAAAGTGGCGGGGCATTGTTCTGGTGTGCTCCAGCAGCACTACACCAAGGGTGGACACCAAAACAGAGCTTGAGGGGAATACTGGACATTTATCAGGTGGAAACAAACATGACTCCAATGGGATGATAATGTTACATAAAAACGATTAATGCCGCTTTAAGCAAAAGGCTGACTGTAGGATTTTACTTTTCCATGGTAATACTGCCAATAAATTAAGGATGTAGGCTCTATTCTTCCAGTACGATGTGTAAAAACTTGGAGAAACAGAAAACTTTCTTTGGTGTAAAAACAAACACA